GTCTCCGTCGTCTCGGCGCCGGCCACCACGGGCAGAGCAGGTACCACTGTGGGAAGAGCCAGGACAAGCCCAGGTGAGCCACACCGCTCCGTGTCCCCCAGGGCTGACATCCTGGTGTGCGTGGGGTGGAAGAGGTGGGGTGGGGGGGGCTGGACACACCAAGCTCCCGCAGGTGGAGGTGCCGTGGGGCTGAGCGGGCAGTGCCCAGCGTGTTGGTGGCCTGCACCCACACCGAGTAGTTGTCCCCGCCACGCAGCGAGCTCAGCAGCACCGGGGAGTCCGCGGGGAAGACCTCCTCCTCCTCCTCCTCCTCTGCCATCCCCGTCCTAGAAAGGAGAAGACATCCCCAGTACTAGCCCATCCCAGCATCACCAGCTCCCAAGGGGTCACAGCTTGAGGCTGGGGTACTGTCGTCTCCACAGCCAGAGCTTGTCACTCCTAAAGGGAACTAGGAATTTGTTGCCTTTGACCCTTCTGGGGGGAATTTGTGGTTTGGCTGTTGGAAGGGTTCTTTCTCAGTTACAGAATCATGGAATCAAGGAATTGCTTTGGTTGGAAAAGAACTTTAGGACCATCAAGTCCAACCATTAACCCCCAGCACTAACCCATGTCCCCCAGCACCACATCTACAGGGCTTTGAAACCTCTCCAGGGATGGGGACTGCCCTGGGCAGCCTGGGCCAGGGCCTGACAGCCCTTTGGGGACAAAATTGTTCCCAAGATCCAACCTAAACCTCCCCTGGCACAACCTGAGCCCATTTCCTCTTGCCCCATCCCTTGTTCCTGGGGAGCAGAGCCCGACCCCCCTGGCTCCAACCTCCTCTCAGCAGCTGCAGAGCCAGCAGGTCTCCCCTCACCTCCTTGTCTCCAGGCTGGACACCCCCAGCTCCCTCAGCTGCTCCTCTAGGACTTGTGCTCCAGCCCCTTCCCCAGCCCCACTGCCCTTCTCTGGACACGCTCCAGCCCCTCCATGTCCTTCCTGTCCTGAGGGGCCCAGAAGTGACCCCAGGACTCGAGGTGCAATACCCTGCCTGTGCACAGGCTGCCTGCCAGCCTGGCCACAGCGCTGTTCCAGCCCTGGGGGGCCTTACCTGCGCAGGTGGAGGCTGTAGGTGGTGGGGAGCAGGGGGGCTCTCCCTGTGTCCCACTGGCATTCCAGGCGCCCCGAGCCCTCGCTGCTGCTGCACCTCAGGTCGCTGGGGGGGTCCGGGGGGTCTGCAGAGGCAAGGTCAGGCCCAGCAGCCAGGGCAGTGCAACCCTCAGGCTGCTGCAACGCACACACCTCCCCTCCTGCCCCCCCAGGGGGCTGCAGGTGAGCAAAAATCAGGTGGGGCTGCAACGCAGGGTCAACCCCTGGGTGTAACGTGCACCCAGGCCAGGAAAAGGGGAGAGAAATCCCTGGGTTTTCCTTCCCAGGGCAGGGGGGTTGGTACTCACAGCCTGCCCAGACGTGGGTGCCACACACCAGGTGTTGCCACTTGTGGTTGGGGCAGTGGGCGAAGCAGGTGACGGTCCCGAAGGGCATCTGGAAACGGGGCAGGCGGAGCTGGACGGTGCTGCTGTTGATGGGGTGCAGGGCACCCTCAGCCCAGCTGAGGTTGAGGAGGATGCTGAAGCGGGCGCGGGGGCAGCCGAGGGTGGAGAGGCAGTTGATGGAGATGTTGGAGCCCATCGGCACCACCGGGCCGGGCTCGATCCAGACCTGCCCTGAGCACTTGATGTCGGCCCCACCTGCAGCAACACCTGCCGGGTCAGGGTGGCTCTGGGTGGCTGTTCCCCCGCAGGATGGGGGGGGATGCTTTGCTGGGACAAAGGCAGCAGCACAGCAGGACCCTAGTGCCCCCCCCGTGGTCCATTTATTTCTCCCGGGGATGGGGATAAACCCCCCCCCAATTCTCAGCAGCCACCCAGTGACTCCTCCCCTCGTGTGGGAAACCACCAGTTTCACCCAATTTAGGTCACTTCAGTGAGTGCAGGGAGACAACCCACAGCCTGGAGAGGGTGGCACTCCCCCCCCCCCTCCCCCCCTCAAGTGCTCCTCCCAAAACCCACAACTACAGCGTTATCATTTTCCCACTCCAGCTGCCATTCCCCAGCAGGGCCAGGGTGTTTTCTGCAGTGGCCAGTGAGGGTGAGGCCGTGGTGGCCCTGCTGGCAGTGCCACACAGCCACTTACCTCCAGACAGGCAGCAGAGCAGGACGTGGAGCACCAAGGCCTCTCTGGACCCCACCATGGCCTGGGCTGCGGCCGCTGCCTGAGCGTGGCATAGTCTGGGGGAGGAAAGGGGGGAGATGTCCCACTGGCCACACCACTGCCAGGCACAGCTGGGTCTGTCCTCTCCTTGGGATCACAGAATCCCACACTAGGTTGTGTTGGGAAGGGACCTTAAAGACGGTCCAGTTCCAACCCCCTGCATGGGCAGGGACACCTCCCACCAGCCCAGGCTGCTCCAAGCCCCATCCAACCTGCCCTTCAACACCCCCAGGGATGGGGCAGCCACAGCTTCCCTGGGCAACCTGGGCCAGGCTCTCACCACCCTCACAGCACAGAATTTCTCCCTCACATCTCATCTCCATCTCCCCTCTTCCAGCTGGAAACTCTTCCCCATCATCCCATCCCTCCCTGCCCTTGTCCCAAGCCCCTCCCCAGCTTTCCTGGAGCCCCTTCAGGCACTGGAAGCTGCTCTCAGGTCTCCCTGGAGCCTTCTCTTCTCTCAGGGACCACCCTGGAGGTGGCACTGGGGACACATGGTGGGGGTTTACCTGGGGATCTGGGATCAGGCTGGGCTGTGCAGTGGAAGCCCAGGGGAACAAGCCTGTGGGCATGTGGGTAACACCAGCAGAGCTCCATGTCCAGCCCCTGTGAGCAGCCCCGAGGCCACTTTCTCTAAGCTTCCAGCTCTGGTGACATTACTCTTAGTTTTCACCTCTCTGAAGTTTCTCCAATCCTGTCCTTACATGGACACAAATGTTGATGAAGTTTTGCTAACCCACAGGTTGGATGGCCTCATCCCCACCTCTGGGCAGGTGATGGAGCAAGCCCTGCTGGAAACCAGTTCCCAAGACACGAAGGGTGATGGGAGAGGACAGAGTGGATTTGCAAAAGGTAAATCAATCCTGAGCAGCCCCAGAGCCTCCCTCGGAGAGGCTGAAGGAGCACAGGGGATGCTGCTTGTCTTCATCCTGCCCCTCTGCCCGGCCCTGAGGGGCAGATCTGGGGCTCTGGCTCCAGGGCTGGGTTCCCCCAAGGGCAGGAGAGACATGGCCTGGCTGGAGTGGGGCCAGCAAAGGCTGGAAAGGTGCCTGAGGGTCTGGAGCACCTGAGGTGTGAGGAAGGGCTGGGGGCTGCCCAGTCTGGAGAGGGGAGGACTCAGGGGTGTCTGGTGTCTGAAGGAGGGGGTAGAGATGAGAGACCCAGAGCCCTCTCAGCTCTGCTCAGGGGCAGGAGGCAACGGGGTCACATTCAAAAGCAGGAAGTTGCAGTTAAAGATAAGAAAATGCACTCTAAGGGTGACCAAGCACAGGACCAGCTGCCCCGAGGGGTTGTCCTGGAGTCTCCATCCCTGGCCATGCTCAGAGCTGACCAGACAGGGTTTCCTGGGACAGGAACTTCTCCTCTTTCCATGATGGCTTTCCCACCACCTTGCACAGCAGACCTGAGCCCCCCTTGCAGGTGGGGTGATGCCTCACAAGACCCCCCACACCTTGAGCCCCTCTGTGGAGCCTCTGGGCTGCTGCTCCCACTGCCCATTGGGGGTGGGTGCTGAGCAGACCCTCACCATGGCCTCACACCCCCCCACACGTGCACAGTGCTGAGCACCCAGCAAAGCCTCCAGGGTTTTCTTTTTAATTACAGGTATTTAAAATAACCCTATAATTAAAGCAATTCAGCCGTATTTACATATTTAAATAAATATTTGAAATGATTTACCATAATCAACCAAATAATTCAAATGATCTGATACAAAAACTGATGTCAGACCTGGTGAGCTTCCCTCGAGGGATCAGAGTCCACCATAAAAGCTCTAAAATGACATTTTTCAACCCAAACCAGGCCACCAGCTACACGTTTTGGTGCTTTTCCTGTCGTGTGAGTCGACCTGGTTTCCTTAAGGGCTTCTCAAGTGCTCACCATGAGTCAAATTTCAAGAACCTTCCTATTACCTGACCTACTAAGAGAACTTGAAGGCCTTCCAAATTGCCTGCAAACCTTCTGCAAGTTAGAACAAACGGGGGAGGGGGGGAATTAAGACCAAAAATCTCATGGCACATGAAAAGAGGTGAAAATACAAGGAAGCTGCCAGCTCTGGGGTGGGACCCTGGGCTCGGAACCATCGCTCACCTTTATGTTTTTATTCCAATTTACAGGCTTTTTGGGGGATTTTTTTTGCCAAATGCAAAGCCAGGAGGGATGTGACAGTCCCCTTGTGCAGGGGGGATGCTGCTCTTTGGGGTCAGCCCCGTTCAGGAGCCTCCTGGTCCGTCGAGCAAGAGCCGTCCAGGCTGTGCCAGCCCCAACCATCCCAACCCTTTCCCCGTGTGCCCAACCCACATCAACGGTGGGAGAAACGGGAGCTGGGGGGGGGGGTTAAAATGAGG